CTGTTGCATTCACGGTTTTGCCTTTGAATGGATGGGCAGCAGTATAAAAGAACATAACAGTCAATATCGGACTCTGATTTTTGCTTGTTCTTCTGCCGAAGACCTATGTCGATGATAGTGTCTTGAGCAAACTAATGAGGTCTCATGAAGTTAGTAATACAGAGCATATATTGCCCAAGCGCTTGAAGCAGTCATTCGAACACTCTGTTGCTAACATAATCTATGGTTTTTACTAGTCCTGAGTCCCGAGTCCTGACCGTGTTTGCGAGTGCTTTTTGTTATAGAGCATCAAATGTTGTATAAGAGGTTTTCTTCAGGGACTGTTTTCCTGTTTTCTTTGTGGGTTTTATTTTTTAGGGAAAGCAGGTATTCCGAAGGCAAGAGCAGAAATATTGTCTCCCTCGTGCCCGATGAATTGCTTTGTTATGTGCATTTGTTATGCAGCGAATTTACTTCTTGTACCTTCATGATTGGAAGATTTAGGATGCTTGAATATAAACCTATTGTTACTGTGTTTGTGAAGAGGAACTTACATATCCTGTATTGTGTTCCCCTCTCTCCCTCTCATCACATCACTAATCATGTGACGAAAGTGAGAGGGAGGGGTATACAACATGTGATAGGTAAGTTATTGCCGTGTTTGACAGCTTGTCATATTGAGTTGCAGCAGCCCATGGCAATCGGTTTCGTACGTAGTGAGCGTGTAACCGTGGAATTGGTGATCGGAGATGCTAATTGTCACATTTTATGAGCTGAAACGGTAGGTTGGAAGGCGCCTAATCCATGAGCGGAAATGGTTCACTCTTTTTCTTCTTCTACACATCTATGTTTATTAATATAAAAACATTTCCCTAAACATTACAATAATTATTATAAATAGACAAAAGTTAGAGAGATAACCTTTCTCAAAACAGGAGTGAAGCAGGTGTAAAATATTACACTATAACTTTAGTAACTATAACACAAAAAGGATGAAAGATAAAGAGAGAGATGGATACTGATATTATTTCTCTTGCTTTCTTTTACAGTACATTTGATAACAGACAGAGTGCTCTATTTATAGAGAGACTCTCGTAACTACAACCATCCACAAAATAATGTTGATACTTTTGAAAGTATCAAACAATATTCCTAAGTCTTGTTCTTTTTGAGTGGGCATTCATTCATCCATCAATCCATCAATCCATCAATTTTACAACACTTTCCTTTGGATGCCCACATATCAACATCAGTTGCCTCGTTAAAACCTTGTTTGGAAAAACTCAGTGGGAAAAAACCATAGTGAAAGAAAAAGAGTACAACTTTACATGAATTGTTGATATAGTGTCAAGTATGTTTATGTTGCCTCGTTAAAACCTTGATAGAAAAACATAGTTGGAAAAATCCTAGTCGAAGGAAAAATCCTGATTCCGCATTCTTCAAATTTAGCTAATTAGTAAGTTGATGTAATCCGATACTCTGCACTAACTTTTGAAACGTGCACTTTGGTAGAGATTTAGTGAATAGATCTGCCAGATTTTCATTCAAACAGATTTGTCTGACTTCAATAACTTTAGCCTTCTGAAGCTCATGTGCACTAAAATTTTTTGGAGATATGTGTTTAGTCTTATCGTCCTTAATGAATCCTTCCTTCATTTGGACAATATATGTTGCATTATCTTCATGGATGACAGTTGGATTGTCTGTTTTCGAAGGTAGACCACATGAATTCTGGATATAATGGATCATTAGCACAATGCTCAATCTGCAGGTCGAGACAATATTTTGTTTTCCCGAGGTCTTTCATTTCAAATTCGCTTTTCAGATATTCAGCAGTTTTATTGAGCTCTTCAGGAGTCCCAACTAGGTTAATATCATCAACATATACTGCCACTATAGCAAATCCAGAATTGGATTTCTTAATGAACACACAAAGGCAAATGACATTGTTGATATATCCTTCTTTGATCAAATATTCACTGAAACAATTATACCACATTTGTCCAGATTGTTTCAGCCCATACAATGATCGTCTTAATTTGATCGAAAGCATACCTCGTGGTTTGTTAGTTGTTTTAGGCAACTTAAGTCCTTCTAGGACCTTCATGTATATGTCAGTATCTAGTTCTCCATATAGATACGCAGTGATGATATCTATAAGTCGCATATCAAGCTTTTCTGAAACCACTAAACTTATTAAGTTACGGAACGTAATTGTGTCCATTATAGGAGAATATGTCTCCTTATATTCAATTCCAGGTATTTGTGAAAAGCCTTGTGCAACGAGTCGTACTTTGTATCTTGCTATCTCGTTTTTCTCATTACGTTTTCTTGTGAATACCCATTTGTAACCCAAGGGATTTACATCAGGCGGAGTTTGGACTATCGGTCCAAAAATACTTCGCCTTTCCAAGGAATTTAATTCTGCCTGGATTGCATATTTCCATTTAGGCTAAACTTGTCTCTGTTTGCATTCATCAACAGAGCGGGACTCAATATCATCACTTAATATGATTTCAATGGCTACTGCGAATATAAACATATCATCGATGATTATTTCATTCTGATCCCACAATTCATTTGTACGTGCATAATTTATAGAAATTTCTTTGCTTTCATGTACTGCTGTCTTTTCACGGACATGTGTCTCATCAAAGATATTTTCTTTTTCTGGAAGTACAGAATCATGAATTGCGGATTTTTCATTCATTTTCTCTTCCTGAATTATTTCTTTTGGATTTAGCTGTGTCATTGTCTTTCTCTTTCGAGGGGGTGAATCTTTTGAACCTAGGGTCTACCACGCTTCAGGCGTGCACCAGATGAATCATTCGCTGCCATTTTATTTTGTCCAACATGGACATCAATTCTTGAAAGTGCATTTGCAGCTAGTATATGTGATTTTGTCACTTTCATAGCATCATTAAATGCATTTAGCATTTGATTGGCAATACTTTGAAGATAAACGATCATTTTCACTTCATTTTCACATTGAATGTTATATGGATCAAAATGAGACAAGGTGGGTACAACCCATGTCAGCTCTTGTCGTTCTTTTAGAATTGTCTTTCCTCCTCCTAACGATGGGAAGACTGTCTCATCAAAGTGACAATCAGCAAAACGAGATGTAAACATATCACCTGTCAGGGGTTCCAAATATCTAATGATAGATGGTGAATCAAAACCCACATAAATTCCTAGTCTACGTTGATGTCTCATTTTAGTGAGTTGCGGTGGTACAATAGACATATAAATAGCACAACCAAAAACTCGTAAATATGAAATGTTTGGATGATGTCCAAACACGAGTTATACTGAGGAGTATTGGTGGTTGGCTATAGGTCTCAATCGAATCAATGATGCAGCATGTAAGATGGCATGTCCTCATGCAGAAACTGACAATTTTGTTTTCATGAGCAGAGTGCGAGTTATTAACTAAAGCCGCTTGATCAATGTTTCTGCTAAACCATTCTTGATTTTCTGAGCAAGAAATCTCGCAAAAGCTACATTCCGAGTAGATAAGAGACAAACATGTGACCATCGGGTAGATGCATCAACCAAAACCATAAAATATCGAAATGGTCCACATTAGTTGAATAGGTTCACAAATATCACCTTGAATTCTTTGCAAAAATAATGGGGATTCAATATCAACCTTTAGTTGTGATGGTTTAATTACCAACTTCCCTTGAGGACAAGCCTTACAAGGGTTATCATTTGAGATAGCAATATCTCTGCTCAATAATGGATGTCTATTGGTAATGATCCTACACATCATGGTGGATCCTGGATGATTCAAATGGTCATGCTAAAACATGTAATCTTTTGAATCAATGAACTTCTGGTTCATGACAGCATGTGATTCAATTGTCCTTATATATGTATAATCCAATCCACTCGACAAACCACGCAACTTCTTCAATATACGATTCTGGGTATCATTAGAGGTAATGCATAGATACTCCACATTTTTTGCACTTTTCGTTTCAATGTGGTATCCATTTAAACGTATGTCTTTTAAACTCAACAAATTTCGAGTAGATCGAGTAGCATACAAGTCATTCTGTGTGGACAATATTGTTCCATTTGGTAACATAATCTGGGCTTTCCCTGAGCCTTCAATTACATCTGATTGACCTGATATTGTTGTTACCCTTACTCTTGTAAGTATCAAACTTGAGAAATATTTTCGATCACGAAGTATTGTATGTGTGGTTGCGCTGTCTGCAAAACAAATATCTTCACCATTTCTCATGTTTTGAGAATAACCATAACTTTTATCCATACTTTCTGAGTAAAGGGAATCACGGTTAAAAACAACTTAGAAATTCAAATGCTTTTTTTTATTGAAATGCGAGTTTTTAAATTACAAGTTTAGAATAATAAAAGTACATTAAATATAAATGATTCAGTCGGACCGATACACTTCATTCCTCCTTGCCACAATGAGGAATGAAGTCTCGACATCTAGGCGGGTTGTGTTCAACTGTCCTGATAAGTCGCACACTGGATTAAGTATATCCATTGGTCTAGCCTGGTTTAGGAAATTAGTCTCGACACCCTTCTCCTTGAGGGAGACTTGATATAGATCCACCAGATGTTTTGGGGTACAACAGGTACTCGCCCAATGCCCATCGCCACCACACTTATGGCAGGCTCCATCAGAATTTCTAGGAGCATTGTTTATACGAGCTTTGCCTTTGTGGCGATTTCCATTTTTAAAGCTCAAACCTGAATTTTGCCTTGGAATCGGGTTGTGAAATTGACCACCATGATTCTTACCTTTCCTGCTCCACCGACTTCGCTTATGGCCACGTCCTCGTTTATGATTATCGCCACCAGAGAATGTGGCGTTCACTTCAAGGGAAGCAGCATTCACTTCTGAGAATGATGCCGATCGAGTAGGTCGGGACTAATAATTTTTCATCAGGAGCTCATTGTTTTGTTCAGTTACCAAGAGCACATATATCAGCTGGTTGTATTCAGTGAAGCCTCACACTGTATACTGCTACTACAGGAGCACGTTAGAGGCATGAAATGCGCTGAAAGTCTTTTTCCAGCATATCTTCCTCAGTAATGGTATCCCAACAGAGCTTCATCTGAGAGGTAATTCTGAACAACGCAGAATTGTACTCAACCACTAACTTGAAATCCTGGATCCTTAGGTGAGTACATTCATAGCGAGTCCTTAGAAGAATCACCCTTGTCTGGTGATTATATTTGTTTCTCAATGCCTTCCAAAGAGCTAACGGATCTTCAACCATTAAGTACTCGCTCTTTAGTCCCTCATCAAGATGGCGATGAATAAAGATCATAGTCTTCGCCCGATCTTGAGAGGATGAGATGTTTTCTTCCCTAATGATATCTCCAAGATTCCCTGCTTGCAGATGGATCTTGGTATCTAGTACCCAAGTAAGGTAATTCTTTCCAATAATGTCCAAGGCAACAAAATCAAGCTCTGCCAAGTTTGCCATTTTCGTCTCTTTCTAAAAGAAAAGTGATATGCGTAAGAACTTGCAATAATATGTATTCCTGGAGGAATATAGTGTTAGAACTTCTGGTTCTAACAAATTTTTCATTTTGATATTCAGCCCAAAAATGATAAGCACTCGAAACTTCAGGCTCGAGATTTTCATGATTAATAAGAATGACAATTGTACTGCACCATTCTTATCAAAACAAGCATAAGATGAGCGATTATTCCACACCACTTGAATAACAAGAAAATTTAAATATGCAAAACAGTTTAAATATGTAGGGTAGGGTAGGCGATTATACCACACCACCTAAAATTGCGATAAAATTATGCAGAGCAAGATATAATTGATTTGAAATGCAGAGCAAGGTGGACGATTATACTGCACCACCTAAAATTTGCAGTAAAATTAAATCTACAGCTCAAGATGGGCAATTGTATCGCAACATCTTTGATCGCAGTGAAAATTAAATTTGCAGTTCAAAATTGACGATTGTACCGCACCATCTTTGATTACAGTAAAATTAACATAAATAAACATTGTGTTAGAAACTAGGAACTGCACCAAACAAGAAATCAAAGATACAAGTAACTGTTAAATTTAGAACGAGAAACAGGCATGGTGCTAGCAGTTCATTGCGAGGGTGCATCACGCAGATGAAGCAGAAGAAGAAGAAAAATAGGAAAAACCTTAAAGAAAGCTTTTTTTTTTTTTTTTTCTTCTTTCGGTGAAGAGAGATGTGAACTATTTAAGGTTAGAGAGTCGTGCTGATAACGTGTTATAAATAGGCAAAAGTTAGAGATATAACTTTTCTAAGGACATGAGCGAAGCAGGTGCAAAATATCACACTATAACTTTAGTAGTTATAACACAAAAAAAATGACAGATAAAGAGAGGGAGGGATACTGATATTATTTCTCTTGCTTTCTTTTGCAGTGCATTTGATAACAGACGGGATGCCTTATTTATAGAGAAACTCCTCTAATTACAACCATCCACAAAACAATGATGATACTATTGAAAGTATCAAACACAATTCCTAAGTCTTGTTCTTTTTGAGTGGGCATTCATTCATTTATCAATCCATCAATTTTACAACAGCAATAGAATTATTATTATTATTTTTTAATTTTAATTTTAATTTTTTTTAATTATTCTACCAAAATGGAGGGAATCATACTCGTGACCTAGTGTCATCCTAACAATTTTCCAATTCATTCTCACGATCTAGACTAATCTCAATGGCTTAACTGCGAAATCTTAACAATTGGAGTTCCGTCATAGAACCAATTGGTTGTAATTAATCATTACTCGAGCAAGAGCAATGATTCAAAATGCATTATCTTAATAGCAGAAAGAAACGTATTGTTATGTTACCACATTTAATAATCATGTTGCTAAGTATCGATGGATGACTTATTTTGGTCTGAAATTCTAAATCATCATATGTACTTATGCCACAATCTTAAATGCAGTTCAACGAAACATATCCGACATAATCTACATGTAGATCCTAGGTTATGAAAACACAAATATCTCTTTTATTTCAGGAAATAAGCATTCACACAGAGTTTATAAAGATTCCGGATAGTAAAATTATCGACAAGAAATGGTACAGAAATACTTTTGGTACATGGCCATTAACTGTCAGCCTCACCTCTTCTCGGGAACATTTTTCTTTTTGGTTTTGGTTTTTTGGCTTGCACAGAACGTCCACTTTCCTGTCGATGAAATGTACAAATGTGTGAGCTGCATTAAGAGAAGAATGAAACGTGGAGAAGCACGGACGGATTTATATGTACCTTCTTATACTGTCTGTAGGCTGCCGAACCACTCAATTCCTGCCCAGTTTTGCAACGATAAACCCGGCGACAAAAACAAGAGCATTAAATGAAGGAACAGAGATGCACACATCAATAATGTCAGAGACGCAACAGACAGTTTGTAACTAAAATGCCAAGTCAGTTATATCCACGTGACTGCGGATAAGAATGCCTACATAAGGGTCATATGAAATTTCACCAGCAATATCAAATTCTGGTTTCTTAGTTCTATGAGAAAGCTTCAAGCGGAAACCCAAATCTCTGCATTGACACTTGCAATTAATGATATCCTTCAAATCTGGAAATGTGATGACCAAAGCATCCACCGATATCATTCACCTTCTTCGGTAAAGCAACAATGAGAAAATGTAGGACTTTGGCAGTGTTACTTTGGAAGATTGTAAGCATAATTGCATACGTTTTAACCAGCAGCTTGCCCACTTCCACCAAACGCATCCCATTGACTAGAAGGCTGTGCATTTGCTTGAACCCGCTTTGTACTGACGCAGCTTCTGGGTTCCACCCAGTTTCCAGAAGCATGCTCGACTGTTCCAACATTTGATTTTCCTGACTTAATTCTTCCCTTTTTTGAGCTTTTACAACCATGCCATGCCATGCCAAAGATTGTTCGATGTGTTTGCTTGTGCTGCTTACAAACAACTTACAATGAACACTATTTACCAATCCACAGCTTTAACTAAACCCACTTCTCGAAACTACAAATTTACCAAATAAAATCCCTATTTATGCCGCTACCCTTAAAATGCATTTCAATTTCAACCATAATTAACCGTTTTGCCATCTCAAATTTCATACTGCACAGAACCCTAATTCCCAAATCATCAAAAACCATAAGTTCTGCAAAAAGGCCCCTCGCGACATCAAAAAACCCATTACAATGCATCTGCAAATCTGACAAAAAATACTACTTTCTTCCAGTTAACAACTTCCTAATTACATTCCATGTTTGTTCCTTCGAAATCGATAGCGAAATGAAACAAAAAATATTTCCTTTACAATTACTTCATTCTCCTAAGCATCTGCAAACAATTAACATTATTTCCCCAATTTTCTTTCCCAATTTTATCAAATACTGCATAAAAGATCACACATTTATTCTCTTCCCATTTCCAGCTAACCCTGAACAAACAAAAATGATAAATCTTTATCATTACCTTGAACAAAATCTTCCCCAGACGAGAAATCTTCGATATCGTCGTCAACATTACGACACGGCGTCCCGGTGTAGGTTCCCGCTTCTCAGCCACCCCTCTCTTGAGCCACTTGAGCGGTCGGCCGGGTCGAGACCCAGGATCTGGATCCGGGCCCGTGATTTGAGGCTCGAACTCCTCATCTACCTCAACGGGTGTATCGGCATTGGAACCCCGCGAAGAGTTTGGAGCTGCGGCGGGTGTGGAGTGGTTCGCGGCAGCTGGTTGGAGCTGCGAATCGAAACCTAGGTGGAGTCCGAGAGAGAACGACGGAGGCTCGTAGTCGGCCATGGAGAGAAATCGAGAAAATGGATTTTGGGTATTGAAAATTGGAGGGAGATGAAAAATGGGTGAGACTGGAAGACTGGGATTTATAGGGCGGGATTTGAATTTGGAAAAATTGGAGGGATTACAAATGCAATCTCCATTTTTTAAGTTGTTTGGAGTACATCCAGAGTTGAAAGGTCTCAGAGTTTTTGGCACAGCAGTTTACCCCTTTCTTAGACCCTACACTTGTAGTAAGTTGGATGCTAGAACTGATCAATGTACATTGGGTTATACTTTGGGATACAAAGGTAGTATGTGTTATCACAGAGTGAAAAAGAAGTTATCTCAAGACATGTGGTGCATGGTCTGATGATTCAAGTGGCAACAGTATGGATTCTTCGATTAATTGGCAGAATACACCATCTGGCAGTGTTCATCACAGTGGTGATTCTGTAAGTAATATGCTGCCCGCATATTAGTTCTCCGGGCAACTCAATATCAGGGAATAGTACTCAGCATCTTCAAAGTGGTGGTTCTTTGTACAAGCTCCTCACCCACACACCCCACCCCCTCCTCACCCCCGGGGCAGGGGAATTCTTCTTCCTCTCATACATCAAATGCTTTGTTGCCTGTCTTCCATAGTCCTGCACAATTAGAGTTAACTCTCTCACTTGATCCAAATAATGATTCAAATGCTGCTGCTAATTCCGATATACCTGTTGTATCTTCAAGTCATCCTATGACAACTAGACTTAAATCTGGTGCCATCTCTAGGAAAGAAAAATGCTAGTGAATCTTTTGATGTTGTGTTCGAGGGTTACACGGCTGTTTTGTCTATTCGTGGTTCTGTTGAGCCTACTACTTTTAGAACAGCAGTTGTTCATGATCACTGGAGGAATGCTATGGTAGAAGAGTTCACTGCTTTGCAAAAACAGGGAACATGGGAGTTGGTCCCACCACCAATTGATAGGAATGTGATAGGAAGTAAGTGGGTTTATAAGATTTAAAAGGATCAATATGGCAAGTTTTCCAGAAATAAAGCTCACTTAGTGGCACAAGGCTACAGTCAAGAACATGGGTTAGATTATGCTGATACATTTAGCCCTGTAGTAAGACACACGACTGTAAGTCTGGTTGGTGCCTTACAATATCTTACATTTACACGTCCTGACAGAGCTTTTGCAGTTAATTATGCTTGTTAGTTCATGTCCACTCCAACAGATTTCCATTTTTCCTTGGTGAAAAGGATTCTGCGTTATTTACAAGGCACTATGCACTGTGGTCTCACATTTTCTGCTGCTGCTTCTATGGAGTTAACTGCTTATAGTGATGCTGATTGGGCATAAGATATAAACACTAAAAGATCAACAACTGGCTTTGTGGTATTCTTAGGTCCCAATCCCATTTCTTGGCAGTCAAAGAAACAAAGGAGTGTTTCCAGAAGTTCAACACAAGCAGAATATAAAGCATTGGCTAATGCTGCTGCTGATGTAACATGGATACGTTTGATTCCTAAGGATCTGCATGTTTTCTTGCCATCTCCTCCACTTCTCTACTATGATAATGTTTCGACACTTGCTTTGTGTTCTAATCCGGTTTTTCACACTCGGATAAAACATCTTGATACAGATTTTCACTTTGTTCGTGAACGAGTTCAAAAGGGAGATTTGTTGGTTGAGTATATTTCTACAAATGATCAAGTGGCAGATGTATTGACCAAAGGTCTTCATCGTCCCTTATTTCTGCAGCATTGTTCCAATCTCAAGCTGGGATACCCCAGTTGAGATTGAGGGGGGTATTAGGTGTAAGTCTCTAAATGGACAGGTGTAATGATCTTAAGTGTACATGTGTCACAATCTTGTAGCATAAGCTATTTAGAAGCTTGCTTAGTCATTAAGTTTACCTTGCTTCTATATATAGCTAGAAGATCAACAGTTGTAACAACTTTACTGATATGAAATCAGCTCTCATTCTTTCTCTCTCAAATTCTTCGTGCTTCATTTTCCTTAGTTCTTAAGTTTCTACAGTTTTGTTAATAGTTTCTTCTTCTCTCTGAAATTACCCAATTTCATGGTGATCTTCTTCTGTTTCTTTCCGGAACGTCGTTTCTCAAACAGGTACTGCAATCACCTTCCTCAGCCTGCTCAATTCATCATTTCTGTGCAGATTTTGGTAGTACTTTGCGAATTTGCTTTTGAAATATTTGACGTTTGAATTTTGTTTGGTTTCTGGGAAAATTGAAGGAAAATTAAATATCCTGATGGAATTTTGAGTCCCTGGATCCTCAGATTTCGAAAATTGAAATGTACTGATGGCTAAATTTAGCTGGGTTTAGGAATTTGATAAACGTATAACGGCAGTTATTAATAAAAATGTTTAAGCATTTGTTAGTGAAAGCTTGTTTGAAGTAAATTGAATTCACATTTCTGTGATCTTTTTTCTTCTTTGCAGTGTTGGGATTGAATTGTAGGTTTTGTGGAACTTAATTGGTGTCGGTAGTTTCGTTTCGAAATTTAGTTAAACATGAGTGTGGTGGGGTTTGATGTTGGAAATGAGAATTGTGTAATTGCGGTCGTGAAGCAACGGGGAGTTGATGTTTTGTTGAATGATGAATCGAAACGTGAAACCCCAGCTGTGGTTTGTTTTGGTGAGAAGCAGAGGTTTCTGGGGTCTGCTGGTGCTGCCTCTGCAATGATGAACCCGAAATCTACGGTGTCTCAGGTGAAGAGACTGATTGGTAGAAAATTTACTGAGCCTGATGTTCAACATGACCTTCGAATTTTGCCCTTTGAAACTTCTGAAGCTCCAGATGGTGGCATTTTGATTCATTTGAAGTACTTGGGCGCAACTCATACATTTACGCCGGTTCAAGTTACAGCAATGCTTTTTGCACATTTGAAAGATCTAATAGAGAAGAATCAGGAAATGCCCATTTCAGATTGTGTGATTGGTATTCCATCGTACTTTACAGACTTGCAAAGACGTGCATATTTGGATGCTGCCACAGTTGCTGGGTTGAAGCCTTTGAGATTGATGCATGACTGTACTGCAACTGCTCTTGGTTATGGGATTTACAAAACAGATTTCTCAACTTCTGGTCCAACTTATGTGGCATTTATTGACATTGGTCACTGTGATACACAGGTCTCTATTGCGTCATTTGAGGCTTGGCAAATGAAGATACTATCTCATACTTTTGACAGAAGCTTGGGAGGGAGAGACTTCGATGAGGTCTTGTTTAATCATTTTGCTGATCAGTTCAAGGAGCAGTACAGAATTGATGTGTACTCTAATGTCAAGGCAAGTATCAGGCTACGGGCAGCATGTGAGAAGCTGAAGAAAGTGTTGAGTGCGAATGCGGAGGCACCTCTTAATATTGAGTGCTTAATGGATGAAAAAGATGTCAGGGGATTTATTCAAAGGGGAGACTTTGAGATGCTGGCTTCAGGTTTGTTGGAGAGGATTGGTGTTCCTTGTAGCAAGGCTCTAGCTGATGCAGGTTTGACTGCTGATATGATTCATTCTGTGGAGCTTGTCGGGTCAGGGTCTAGGATTCCAGCGGTTGCTAGAATATTAGCTTCTGTGTTCGGGAAAGAACCCGGCCGGACGCTGAATGCGAGTGAGTGTGTAGCACGTGGATGTGCTCTTCAATGTGCAATGCTCAGTCCTGTTTTTCGAGTCGGAGAATATGAGGTTTGTATTTTGAAACTTTCAATTCATGGTCACAAATACAGTGCTTTACTTTCAGTTAAGAATACCATGATATATTTGTTCATATGCAATGCATCAGTAATACTATGCTGTTCTATGCAATGCACATATAGAACAAGAGATGAGTTTCTTCCCCCCTCCCTCCCTTCTTTCGGTTCTTTTTTTTTCTTTTGAAATTTGAGAGTATGACAATGCCTCTCACAAAACTTAGGCTTAGGGACCACCTTAAAAAAGGATTAATGTTTGCTTTATAATTGATTTTTATTGATTGAAGGTATCGACTGCTTACTCATTCTCGAATTGATGTGCATTCCAAAAACCCCTACCGACAACAAAGCACAAACTTGTGGCTTTAATTGTAAAACGTAGACACATATGTGAGACGTCTTTGCTATCTGGATAGTTGCCCACAACGTATGTAATGGTTTTCCCGGATCTATATGCAGGTTCAAGACTCAATTCCTTTCTCAATAGCACTCTTAGTAGATGAAGCTCCAATTTGCACAGGGACAAGTGACATCCTGTTTCCAAAATGCCAACCCATTCCAAGTGTTAAAGTACTGACGTTTCAACGAAGCAGTTTATTTCATTTGAAAGCATTCTATGATAATCCCAGTGAAGTGCCTGCTGGCGCTTCTCCTGACATTTGTTGTTTTACGGTAATATTCTATGCTCTTCATTCCCTTTTTTCCAGTGGGGTGGGAGAGGGGAATATGTGACACTAAGAATTTTGTTGGTGGGGATGCATGATAAAAATGTGTAGAAAGGATGACCACATAGAGAAGTGAAGGTAAATCAAGGGCAATCATGTTACCACTGAGCACTAAGTTCAATGTCTAATCTTTGAAGCCTCTATAAGAATTTAGGATGATGTAAAATCTTCTATGATTTTTTTAGTTAGACAATTTATAGAACACTTGGGGGAGACGACTCCAGTATTTGACATGTCAAACAATTAAATGTTTATGTGTGGGCATTAGAGGGAGAGAGATTTCAACAAAACCCAACTAAAAAGATTTACCCCAATTAAAAAGATTTACTATCTGCTCAATGAAAATGTCATTTAGATCCTTTTGTTTTGGCTTACCTTGCAATGAAAATACCTTTTATTTAATTGGATTAATGTTACTTCCTCAATAAGGGCTGCTGTTTATGTAGATTGGCCCTTTCCAATGCTCCCATGGCGAAAGAACAATGGTTAAAGTTAAATTTGTGTTAGATCTCCACGGTGTTGTCTCTGTTGAATCAGCTATGGTAAGTAAATCTTTTTTATTTCCTGACAATATCTACTTTGTCATTTACTGGTTTCCTAGGATCACTGTTTTGTGGTACTTTTTTTTTGGTCGAAAGTTTTGTGGCATAAATCTTATAATGGCTTTAGGTGATGGAAGATCACGGAGATGACTCTTCTACAAGGGGTCTTGCCGGTTCAACAATGGAACCAATGGACATTGATTGTGTAACTGCTTCTGGTTATACTGGGGCAGTTGCAGATGGATTTGAAGAAAGCAGTACGCAGCACAACTCTTCACATACTGGTGTAAGTTTGTTTCCAACTTCATAAGTTACAGAAATGCACTCCCTCATAATTTAGTTCTTATTTATTTCCTTTATTTCATGCTGGAAAAACTAGAGATAAATCCAAATTTTGAATAAATGCGATAATTCCCTTATAGTTAATCTACAGTAATCTTGTCGTTTATACTTAATATGCAATGCATACTATTTTGGTTTTGCAAAGTTCCTGTCAAATTCAGTTGTTTGAAGTTTGTGGAGCAGATGTAAACTTGTTGAAAGATATCCACAATTTCAGGGTGAGGCTAAAAGAAACAAAAAAGCCACCAGGAGGCTAGAGATACCTGTTAGTGAAAGTATATATGGTGGAATGACCAAGGCTGAACTTTCAGAAGCTCAAGAAAAAGAACTCCAGTTAGCTCAATGGGACAGAATTATGGAACAAATCAAAGACAAAAAGAATGCGTTGGAGTCTTATGTCTATGAGATGCAAACTAAGGTATAGCCTGTATTATCTTTCCATCATGTTTGCTTTGGCTTTGCCTGCTCAAACACTTTGCCGTGGTTTGACTTATGCCTTTTTGAAGCATTATAAGGACATAGCACTGACATTCTACTTCTAATACCAGAATGGTTTTAATCCCCATGTGGCCTGGGAGTAAATATTGCCAACTCAAAGATTTGGTTTTCATGGTGTGGGTGTGACAAAGACCGAAATGCACAAGGGGAACACTGCAACTAGTAATATTAGGATTTAAGCTTTGTGACTACTCTATAGTTTCTTTAAGCAAACAATTTTGAACTGTTCTATAGCATGCGATGATAATCAGTTCTATATATCTTTGGGCAAAAAATCAGTCCCTTATTGTTGTATCTCTGTTTGTGTCATTATCCATACCTGAGCTTGTTTGACCATAGCTTAGTCAGACTCTCGTAGATCGTTTAGTTCATGCTGCCACTTTTTGCCAATGGCTGGCTTTTTAACATAAGGACATGCATGTGAATAGCTTCTCAACACATATCAAAGCTTTGCAAGTGATCAAGAGAGGGAGGGCATCTCCAGGAGCCTGCAGCAGACAGAGGAATGGCTTTATGATGATGGAGAAGATGAAACAGAAGATGCTTATACTTCAAAGCTGGAAGATCTTCAGAAGGTTTTCTCCACTTCTTGAAATTTGAGAATTTAATTCCGGTTATCTTTCTCCATTGTTGATGTCTATTTGATAATTCTAGCTGGTAGATCCAATTGAGAACCGATATAAACAAGAGGAAGCAAGATTGCAAGCTACAAGAGATCTATTAAAGTGCATTGGGGATTACCGGATGGCTGTGAAATCAGTTAGTTACTTATACCTCATATAAATGTGACTATTATATTTTCTTCTGCGATTGACTTTTCATGTTTCAGATTGTTAATGAGTGCAATAAAGTGGAGCAGTGGCTTAGGAAGAAAAACCAACAACAAGACTCGTTGCCAAAGAATGTTGACCCAATCTTATGGTCAAATGACATTAAGAGCAGGAGTGAGGAATTGAACTCGTAATACTCTTGCACTTCCTAGTTTCCGACTTGACTTCAATTATAATGCTCCATGTTCATTTTAATGTTCTTAATTTTGTCAACATGGTATGTGAAGAGCTTATAAATGTAGGACTGCAAGATCAATAAGTTGTTTGGCCAAATCAATCCTTTCTGAAAATGTATCTAACCTGGTGGTAGCATCTAATATATCCTCAGCTTGATGGGTTAAATAAGAAACAAATGATATGGGGAGTATTTATGATTGTTTGATTGGGGTAACTTGTTCCTTCTTTTGCACTACAGCAACTTCTACGCATTTCCCTAGTTTGCTGCTGGTTCCTCGATTCACTTAATTCCTACCGTGTTGTTGCTGTTCCATTTGGTTTTCAATCTCTAGAAACTAATCATGCTGCTCTAATCATTTCAGGAGATGCAACCATTTATTCAGATCCAGGGCTTCTATCATTTGAGCAAACTGATGAGGTCTCATGAAGTTAGTAATACGCAGCATATATTGCCCAAGCGCTTGAAACGGTCATTTGAACACTTTGTTGGTAACATAATCCATGGTTTTTGCTAGTCCTGAGTCCTGACCGTGTTTGCGAGTGCTTTTTGTTTTAGAGCATCAAATGTTGTATAAGAGGTTTTCTTCAGGGACTGTTTTCCTGTTATTTTTGTGGGTTTTATTTTTTAGGGAAAGCAAGTATTCCGAAAGCAAGAGCAGAAATATTGTCTCCCTTGTACCCGATGAATTGCTTTGTTATGTGCATTTGTCATGCAGCAAATAGACTTCTTGTACCTTCATGATTGGAAGATTTAGGATGCTTGAATATAAACCTATTGTTACCGTGTTTGAGATGAGGAACTTATGTATCCTGTGTTGTGTTCCCCTCTCTCCCTCCATCACATCGCTAATCATGTGACGAAAGCGAGAGAGAGGGGTATAAAACATGTGATAGGTAAGTTATTGCCGTGTTTGACAGCTTGTCATATTGAGTTGCAGCAGCCCATGGCAATGGATTAAGTCACCGAAATGGTTCGTACGTAGTGAACATGTAACCGCGGACCTGGTGATCGAAGACGCTAATTGTCACACTTTATGAGCTGAAACGGAAGCTTGGAAAGCGCCCAATCCATGAGCAGAAATGGTTCACTCTTTTTCTTCTTCACATCTTTGTTAATTGATATAAAAACATTTCCCTAAAAATTACGGCGATAGAATTATTATTATTTATTTTATTTTATTTTATTTTTTACCAAAATGGAGGGAATCATACTCATGACCTAGTGTAATCCTAAAGATTTTCCAATTCATTATCACGACCTAGACTAATCTCAATGGCTTAACTGCAAAATCTTAACAATTAGAGTTCCGTCATAAAACTAATTTGTTGTAATTAATTATTACTCGAGCGAGAGCAATGATTCAAAAGTATTATCTTAATAGCAAAAAGGAATGTAATCTACATGTAGATCCCAAGTTATGAAAACACAAATATCTCTTTTTTATTTCCGGAAATAAACGTTCACACAAAGAGTAAATGAAGATTCCGGATAGTAAAATTATGGACAAGAAATGGTACAGAAATACTTTTGGTACATGGTCATTAACTGTCAGCCTCACCTCTTCTTGGGAACATTTTTCTTTTTTGGTTTTGGTTTTGGTTTTTTGGTTTGCACAGAACGTCCACTTTCCTGTCGATGAAATGTACAAATGTGTGAGCTGCATTAAGAGAAGAATGAAACGTGGAGAAGCATGGACGGATTTATAGGTACCTTCTTATACTGTCTGTAGGCTGCCGAACCACTCAATTCCTGCCCGGTTTTGCAACGATAAACCTGGCGACATCAACAAGAGCATTATATAAAGGAAGAGAGATGCACACATCAATAATGTCAGAGACGCAACAGACAGTTTGTAACTAAAATGCCAAGTCAGTTATATCCACGTGACTGCGGATAAGAATGCCTACATAAGGATCATATGAAATTTCACCAGCAATATCAAATTCTGGTTTCCTAGTTCTATGAGAAAGCTTCAAGCGGAAACCCAAATTACGCGTTGACACTTGCAATTAATGATACCCGTCAAATCTGGAAATGTGATAACCAAAGCATCCGCCGATATCATTCACCTTCTTCAGTAATGCAACAATAAGAAAATGTACGACTTTAGCAGTGTTACTTCGGAGATTGTAAGCATAAATGCGTATGTTTTAACAATCCAGCGTCAAATTTTAGAACCTCAATGACCTGTGAATTGAAATTAACATAAGATCCATAAAAATCAAATCAGTAATATGCAGTGTAACATACCTTCCTTCCACCAGGGCCGGTATACCAATAACCAGCAGCTTGCCCACTTCCACCAAACGCATCCCATTGACTAGAAGGTTGAGCATTTGCTTGAACCCGCTTTGTACTGACGCAGCTTCTGGGTTCCACCCAGTTTCCAGAAGCATGCTCGACTGTTCCAACATTTGATTTTCCTGACTTAATTCTTCCCTTTTTTGAGCTTTTATTGACACTAACTTTCTGTGCTAGTTTACCATCTTTTGGGTTCACCCAGCTTCCAGAAGCATCTTCAACACTTGGTACGTTTGATTTATTTCTTTGCCTATTAGAGCTTTTTTCAAGGTCAATCTTCTGACTCACTCTCTGTTTTGAAGCATCTCCATTGCTAAACTGACCCCTGAAGTGACAAAGACAAACATATCATGACATAACTAAAAAGAAAGTTAAAAAAAAACTAGAAACAACTGAAAAAGAAGTGCTCACATGTAATCAATTACTGATGCACCACTGCTGATTTCCTCTGATGTTAACGAGTGGGAAAAAATTCGGCAAGCGACTGCAGACTAATTTCCGAATCTTTGGATCATCATGAAAAAAGTAACGATGAGCGGGTGGAAGGGGATCAGCCATATTCCAGAGTTGTTCAAAATCTTGGCCACCAGGCATTGTTTCATGAAAATTCTCATTGGTATGTAAACATGAAATCCTCTCAAAGTTCTGAGCAGACTTATCCTTTCCAGATCGCAGGTACTCCTTACATACCTCATCTAAAGCAGGTGTTGGAATGCTAAACTTCTTGATCGGACTGAAATCTTTCCATAAATCCACATCTACAGGCATACTCATAGAAGATTTCTTCTTTGTTTCGCTAGTAGTTGCAGCATGGGCAGAACTATACTTTTGCTTCTTTGAGGATGCATCAACATCACAATTAACCCTGCTCACACTTTCACTGGGTGAAGGATCATCAGAATCGGAATCAATTAATTGGAACCTTCGAAGAGGACTGGCAGTTAACTTCGGAAACATGAATCCTTTGTGGCTTTCCTCCAGACTCACAGAAGCTGAGACATCTGAAACTGGTTTCCTTTTCCTTCCCATGCTATGGCAGGATGATTGAGAGGTTAAAACCCCACTTCCACGTAATAGGACCTTTGAACTACTAGATACAGTATGGTATTGTGTTGACGGATGCACATCTGCTATAAATTTAGCAACTGTTAACCTTAATACATTTTTTATGAAGCAGATACACCACACACACACACATGAGAGAGAAAGCTCAAAACCTCAATATGAATCAGATTAAAGATTATGCGCAAAGTTGGACCTTCCTGGCAAAATATCTTATTATGCTACTAAACAAACACTCCTAATAGCACCACATGAAAATCAAAACACCCAATATCTTCTGAAGCAAATCCTATAGCAGCCTAGCAGCAGCAACAACAATAAACCAACCAAAGAAAAAGCCCAAGCTTACATTGCCAAACACAGAACTTAACCAGCTATGCCAAGGATTGTTCAATGTGTTTGCTTGTGCTGCTTACAAACAACTTACAATGAACACTATTTACCAACCCACAGGTTTAACTAAACCCTCTTCTCGAAACTACAAATTTACCAAATAAAATCCCTATTTATGACGCTACCCCTAAAATGCATTTCAATTTCAACCATAATTAACCATTATCCCATCTCAAAGTTCATACTGCGCACAACCCTAATTCCCAAATCACCAAAAACCATAAGTTTTGCAAAAAGGCCCCTCACCACATCAACAAAAAACCCGTTACATTACATCTGCAAATCTAACAAAAAATACTACTTTCTTCCAGTTAACAACTTCCTAATTACATTCCATGTCTGTTCCTTCGAAATTGAAAGTGAAATGAAACAAAAAATATTTCCTTTACAATTACTTCATTCTCCTAAGCATCTGCAAACAATTAACATTATTTCCCCAATTTTCTTTCTCAATTTTATCAAATACTGCATAAAAGATCACACATTTATTCTCTTCCCATTTCCAGCTAACCCTAAACAAACAAAAATGATAAATCTTTATCATTACCTTGAACAAAATCTTCCCCAGGAGAGAAATCTTCGATATCGTCGTCAACATTACGACACGGCGTCGCCGGCGTAGGTTCCCGCTTCTCAGCCACCCCTCTCTTGAGCCGCTTGAGCGGTCGGCCGGGTCGGGACCCAGGATCTGGATCCAGGCCCGTGATTTGAGGCTCGAACTCCTCATCTACCTCAACGGGTGTATGGGCATTGGAACCTCGCGAAGGGTTTGCAGCTGCGGTGGGTGTGGAGTGGTTCGCGGCAGCTGGTTGGAGCTGCGAATCAAAACCTAGGTCGAGTCCGAGAGAGAATGATGGAGGCTCGTAGTCGGCCATGGAGAGAAATCGGGAAGATGGATTTTGGGTATTGAAAATTGGAGGGAGATGGAAAATGGGTGAGACTGGAAGACTGGGACTTATAGGGCGGGTTTTGAATTTGGAAAAATTGGAGGGATTCCAAAATAAAATTTCCTTTTTTGGGTTTTTATGTTTTATTTTTGGCGGGCTGAGAGCGGCGTGATGGGGAAGAATCCGAAGATGTGCTCTTTCTCACTTTGGGCTCTCACCGAGTCCTTTGAATGCATATATTTGGGTTAACTGTATCTATATTTTTTTATTTTTTGGTCACTTTGGGCTCTAAATATGTCGAGTGGACAATAAAATGAATCGTGAGATTTCAAATTTCTTATATTGCATGCATTATGAAGTTTTGAATCGACTGCAGTTGTGTTTGTATGTTTCCTCTTACAACCAACTTAAATGTTTGGAAAACATACAAAAGTCTTACGGAATTTCTTCCTCACATTGATCAAAGTAGATGCGGTGAGTGGTGACCTAGAGTCATACCAAGTCCAATATCTCTTCGACAAGAAAAGGTAAAGTGCTGTGTGGATGACATATCCCTAAATAAGATGTGTTTTGAGTCCAAAACTAAAACGATGTGCGTTTGGCTCAGAGTGATGTGACGATTTTAGAGTCGAAAACATGGGGCATTTTGGAGGAGATGAAGGTTGATCTTTGAAACTGACCTTTACGAACTGATGATCCCAATCCGGATATCGAAAAAACAAGAATCCGAGAATGCCATTTTTGCCATTGTTGGTTGTTGGCTCAATGCCATTGAAGTAGGCATGGAGGTAGTGGATAAAATGGGATTTTTGTGGATTCATAAGGTTGGTTTTAGAGTGGATCCAAGTTGAAAATACATCAAACTTCAGGAGCATTTTGGTCATAAAATGATCCAAAAAAATCTTATGTTAAATAAAAGCTCCGTGTAATTTTTTTCAAATTTTTTATGAAATTATATTTTTTTTGCTGTTTTTTTAAGTATAGTTGTTGACGAATTATTATTAGGTATAATACATTACGTATATATTATCTGCGGATAAGTTTGAATTTACAAAAATCATTAATTGTTACGTTTATTTGCAATTTTGGTACGTTTGATTTAATACATTGTTAATATTGGTATATTATTTTTATTTTGGTATGTTTTATTTTGTACACGTTGTGTATTGGTATATTTTTTATTCTCTTAACGTACTAAAAGAAAAACTTATTTTGGTATGTTTGATTTTGGGGGATTTAAAAACATTTTAAACTATTTTGGAAAGAAAATATCTTAAATTGTAGCATTATTGTGAAAATAAATTGAATCTAACCAACCTTTTTATTTTTTTTTTTACAATTATCTCTAACGGAGGAGAGTGTAATCAAAAGGCTAGATTATAAGAAATTTATTACAGTATAATATGCATATAGCATCAAAATTATGACAAAAAAAAGTTTAATTAAATCACTAAAAAACATGGATATTTGATCTAGAAAATTCAAAACTGAGACGCCTATATCAAATGATCTCTAAATAAAATTTGAGATCGATAAGCGAATTTTTTTTTACCACAATAAGTGAGGTTATTCGGTGTTTTTCCCTTAAGTCAATTTGATTAGACAGTAAGTACTTTTGTTGGCATAGAATAGTCCAATGTGGGTTCTTGACTTTAGACTTGGGTTCAGACAGAGCAAGCCTTTTTATAAGAAGAATGTTTCTATTTGCATGCGTGGGGTACTCGTCCCTATTAGAGATGCGGGCATCGATGTGATTTATAACAATACTCCATTTTACAAGTTTTAGACGACTGTAAGTCTGCAAGTCTTACTGATATGGAGTATTCTTTTGTCAATAAACAGTACAAAGAGCATTTTGTTTCCTAATCAAACCAGTGCTTTAGTTGTACTAGTATAGTAATAGGTTTGATAAGGAATCATATACTTAGTTTTGAGGATTGTCTTGGGCCTTTTTTTACTATTCCTTCTAAGCAACTTTCTTTAATCTTTTATTGGGTTTAATCTTTAAGAGCAACTCCAGCGGGAGGAGTAGCCCGATGGACTATCCATTTTTCCAACCCAATAGTCAGAGCTGCAAGCTCCAGCCTATGCGGGTGTGTGGACTGAGGGGGGCCCAAGTGAGAGGCTCGGCTCCAATCGGTGGCCGAAGAGCCTGAGAATCAGGTGATGCAAGACTGACGTCAAGGTGACATCAGGGTGACGTCAGGCCAAGATTTAAAAAAATTTGCGTCAGACGCATGTCCTTCACGTGCATGTGGGGGCGCGTCACCGACAGCTTTGCAGTCGGTGGGGCCCGCGGTGCCAGACTTCTGAATTGTTACCGTTGTGGGGCACGTGGTGTGACGTCGTCCATTGGATTTCAACGGATACCTTATTTGGACCATTGGATTTCCAACAGTAAAAAAAAAATTCAAACCTACCGACAACGGTTAGATATCGTGGCACAACGAGAGCCGTTGGATTTGAGATCAACGATCCACGTTATTCGCCTTTATAAATAAATAAAAAATCACATTTAAAAATTCTGAAATGTTACAGTTGTGCCACGTGGCACAATCTGGAGGGTTCAATTTCAATTTTTTTTTAATCCAACAGTAGAAATTAATTAAGTTAATAAAACATGTTAAAAATTAATTAAAAAAATCCGAAAAAAAATTTTAAAAATTTTAAAAAAATTGATTTTACTTTTCTATAAATACCTTCTCATTATCTTCTACCTTACACCACAATTTCATATTTTCTCAAATATTTTCCATTCTAAAACGACGTCTAAAGTACGTATCAGGGAATGCACTGTTTCGGACAAAACAAAATCGTCCAAGAGATTTGTACCTCATCGTTGCCTGCTTCTATCAATGTTTGCGGAACGGCTGAGCCTGCATATTTGAGCCGCAACTTGGATGACTCGATGGGAATGTGAGGCTGTTTGGCTTCTTGGCTTCTTGCTTCGTCATCTCTCCTTCTACGCTCCCCATCCTCATCGTCATCCTCTTCCTCTTCCATCACATTTTCGCCCACCTAGAGATTGAACCTTTCTTCCCCTTGCTTAAATAATTCTTTCTCTTGCTTATCGATTTCCCACAACATTCTTGAAGAAGACATTGTAAGAAGGAAGCAGAAACTATGAATAATGATAAAGATTTTGATTTTGGTGTGTGATTTCTTAGGATGGATGACGGGTTATATGGAGGAAAAAGAAATGATTAAGTTCTAGATAATGTCACGTGGCATATCGTCATTCGTTAAAAATCTAATCGAAATCTATCCTCAAAGATTGTAAACAGATTGTGACACGTGGCGCGACGTGATTGGTTAAAAATCTTATCAGAAATCTATCCTCAACGATTTTGAAAAGGTAACGACACGTGGCATGGTGGCATTGGATAAATATCTTATCGAAATCTATCACCAAAAATTGTCTTTTCGGATAATGACACGTGGCGCAACGAGAACGATTAAAAATCTTATTTGAAATTACAAATAAAATTAGTTTATATTATTTTATAAAATAAAAAAAATACTAATATATATTGCCTATTGCCATGACTATTTAGTTTAAGGGATGGAGATGCAAAACGCAGTTACTATTCACTGGAGGCTATTCAATAGTGAGTTGCCCTAGGAGGCCTTTACAACGTTGAAGTTGCTCTAACAATCTGTTGAGGAATTTTACCACATTAAAATGGTCACAATTACTCACAGCCACCTGCTCTTGTAGCAAAGATAGTTGTTGGGTCCCTTTTATAATTAAGAGGAGGCTCTTTCTCATAATGAAATGGTTAGAAATGCATCCTAGCTATATCTATGGAGGAGAATGAAGTGCATTGAACGGGCTCAATGTCGTCTGTGGCATTTCGATCCAATAGTTCAATATGTAAATTTTATTTCATTTGACATTGCATTATTAGATCAAGACGTCTTAATAATAGTAAACTCGTTGCATGTAAGTTATTTTTCCATAATTGAGGCAGAGCTAGCCATGAGGGGATTAGGGCTGCCCTCCTCCTTGTATCACCAAGATAGAGAGAGGGGCAAAACAAAATTTTGGGGCTTTTCTTTTCTTTCTGAATTCTAGAGTATGTACGTTAATATTGAACAAAATATGTTAAGAAATTGCTAATTACTCTTCTCCACATCCCCCCCTTTGATATTCCCTTTGGAACATGTATATTAACAAAAACCACATAATTAACATATACTAAAGGCAAAATTAATTGACCTCAGGAATGCTTTGAAGAGCAGGCCTCCAAGACCTTTGCAACTGGGTCTCATAGCCATCACTAACCCTAATCAACTGAGCCAAAACCTGCTCAACTGACGTTTGCTTAAACTCCACCTTTCCCAACAACTCTTCCCACCGCTTCTTTGTGATCTTGACCTTCACCTTTGTTGCTGCACCAATTTTACTACTGTTACGAGTTGTTGTTGTTGTAGAACAACATGAATCCCTCTGGCTTGCTTCTTCAATCTGGTTCTTCTTCCTCTTCATGATCTTTATGTTCGCTTGATCAGCATCGCAATAACTGTCACCGTTCATTCCATTTGCTAGACACCCCCAATCCTCTCCTGCCCACATAGACGATTCATGCCTTATGCAATTTCCCATCTGGTCTTGTTTTTCTTTTGTATGAACGGAATAATATTAGTGAGCAAATGGAGAGGTGTAGTTTGTGTTATATATACACCACGAAGGGATGAGGATTGAGGGAAATTAATTATTAACAAGGTGGTGGGGGGAAAGATAGTAAGGTAACGGAAAAAGATCAAGCTTTTAAGAGAGGAGAGTCAAACCTAATTTGTTGCCACGTTGGATGACATGTTGTCCTACGTGGCTGGTAGTGGGAGTTTGACCTCTTTACCATCATCATCTTTGGGACTTTGTGCCTCTTTTGGGGTTGGTTCCAACTAATAACAAATAATAGTATGCCATTTATTTACAAAAGTAGGTCAAATTATGATGCCAATTCATTTAGTATTATTAGTTATAAGAATGGGAGATAGTTTAGTACAATTTGTAAAACACTTGTTTATTTGTCATTTATTTACAGCATCTAGGATAAAAGTTTGATTCTAACTCTGTTTTATTTTTTTTTAAATAATAAAAATAAAATTAATCTTATTTCATGCGCACTATGATATGTGTAGTCCTCATTAATACTTATGTTTCAAGTCAATTTTAACTATTGTGGCAACATGGCTAATAGGAATGAGCTTCTAATCTTTGGTTTTTCAATCATCTGTCTGATAGATGATAAGTATTAATATAACCTTTAATTAAAAAGACATCAATTAATTAGATTATAAAAAGTAAATTGTAAAGGTTAGGATTAACTATCAAATCTTGATGTAAACGACATATATAATATGTTTGTTAATGTTATAAAAAAGTAATACCATTTCACGTATAATTTAACATTTTATGTTGCTAATAACTTGGAATCGTGATCTGAAACCAACTATTATGACCTTGAACTGCCACCAAACTAAATAAGAAAGTCTAGTGTGAAAGGGTTTAGGATGGGATCTTTCCCTATTGAAGTGGTGTGAACGCAAATTGGCAAGGGAATCTTCCACGTGCTAATTTGATAATCTCCTTACACTTTTAATCATTATCCAATTATGACTAATTTAGTCTTATCCGTTCTTTCCTAACCTCCATGCAGGGAATTCATTCATGAAGAGAATTTTCTCACCTCTTAATCTTTCTTCTCTTTCCTTCTTTCTTATTAGTCATGTTAACATCTTATATTGATTTTTTTATAAAGACAATAAGATAAAAAATAATATGTGAGAGGAGAGGAGGGAAAGAAATGCGAATAGGAGAGAGAGAATCATACTCCATTAAAAAATGTTATGATATAAGCCTTTTCTTTTTATTTTATAAGGAACTTTAACGAAAAATTTCTGATAACGAAAAATCACATTTTTACATTAAAAAGTTAATAATGGTATTATTCACTTTACCCTTTATTATGTCCTTATCGTTAAAACTTAAAATTTTCAAGCTTTTTTCATTAGTTTTTCTTGATAACGTGAATGATATGTATGATAAAGGTTATGATAATGAGATCCAAGAACCCTATTAGAAGATTATGTGGAACTTATATGCTTGTGTGACATATGAGTTGGTGGCTATAAGAAGTTGATAGTGTAGGTGAC